ACTGATATTTAAAAAAATAAAAAAATTTGTAGAACTCAAAAATAAAAACGAAATCGAAAAATTTTTTTCTTGATAGTTTCATATTTTTTATTCACTTGGTATACAATGTGAACTTAAATAAAACAGGTAGCAAATATTTACTACTAAAGCGTTCATAATTGTCAACAGTTTAATTTTTCAAATGATAATTTTTTAAACACAATATTTTTTTAATTCATTTTCTTCTTTTATTTAAATTATGATTTGTATTAATTTGTAAAAAAAACTACGTCCCCAATTAAAAGGTCAAAAACGAACGAATTAAACGAATTAATTAGCATTAAAAGGGTTTATATAAAGCATAACCAACCATTTCCTATTTATACATTTGGCACTTGATACTTCTCATTAAATGAACCTTGTGTTAAGTAATTTTCATGTCGTTCATGTCAACAAAGTAATTACTCAATGTTCACATTTAATAAAATTCCTACTAAAAATGAAATTTTACAAAAGAAATTATTCAAAATCAGTTATTGCGTTACACATTTTTTGTGAATCATAACTTCTAGGTCAACAAATTACTACGACATTATGTAAATTTTTTGTTGCATAAATTACACGTTTTTGTTCAATAACAAAATAATTATACATCATTTGTTGTCATGTTGAGTTTAATTACAACTGAAATAAATTTTACCGGTTACATCACTCAATTAATAAAATAATTCTCTACGTGAGTGTCGAAATTATCACCAAAACTCATAAAACTTTTCCCAAAGTTTGCGATATATCCTCATCACTTATCGACAATAACTTTTAACCTTTCAATGTTATATAATTTTAATTAATTGACGATAAATAGAACCCCCGCGAACAATAACCTGACTGTAAATATTAATACAAACATTCTTGACATCGATCAATTTTTGTGGTTATCCTTGAGGAATTTTTTTTCACTAGCAACTAGAAAAGCTGTTAAATAATGCAAGTAGCCAACTTGTCTCTAACTGTTTGATAAATTTAGTGATAAATACACTTCACGTGTTATTCACGCGAGTTACTAGTGATAACCAAACAATCTCAATTGTGTGAGAATGGAAGAATTCGGGATTTTTATTTTTCACACTGGATTTTTTATGATAAATTTACAACATTTTTATTATCAGAGACAGAACAATGAGTTAAAAGAAAGACTAAAATACGCAAACTCATCATACAGGGTGGTCCAAAAGTCTGGAAACGAGTTTATTCTGGCGAAACTATCAATTTTTTTGGGAAATAAATTTATATGGCTATAAAAATGCTATTAAAAAAATTATTAATTAATTGTTTATACTTACGAGATAAACATAGTAACAATTTTTTTTAATGGAAACCTACTACAATTTTTGCTTGTTACTGTGCAAACATTTTTTTGTAAACCTCACACTTTTTGTTAAAAAATGTTTGACTTACAAGAATTATAGAATTTTTTTGAGTAAACTACCAGTTTTTTTTGTAAATAAATTAATAAATGTTTAAAGGTTGTAAAGGAGCGATGCCAAAATATTTTTTATTTTAATTAATTGTTTAAACTTTTGAGATTACCATACTAATAATTTTTTTCGAAAATAAAAACCGGTTTTTTATTTATTGTTTTACAAAGATATGTTTATGCATTTTTTTAAATGTACAAAAAATTTATTAAAAATGTTACAATTAATGTTAAAAAAATTATAAACTTTATCTGTTAGCAAAACTTTTTGAGACTTAATTTTGCAAATTTAAATCAAATTTTTCAAATTTAGTGATTTTCTTGGTAAAAAACTCTGAACAGATGAAAATTTTGTTATTTTCTGTACTATTTTTGCCAAATGTAAGAACATTTAGGGTGTTCTCTTGGTGAGAAACAGGCGAAAAGGCTCATTTGAAACTTAATTTTGCAAATTTAAATTAATTTTTCAAATTTTATGAGTTTCTTATTACTGAAATTTGTTTTATAAATTTAACACATTTTGGACCCATTTTTGCAATTTTCTGAATTATTTTTGTTGAAAAACAGGCAAAAAACTTATTTGAGACTTGAGTTTGCAAATTTAAATCACAAAAAAATAGGCAAATTAATCCAATTTTAGATCTTATTGCGTAAGTTTCAAGGTTATTTAAGCCAAGTCCTTCGAATTTATAGTCACTCTCTCAATAAAAAACCGTTTTTATTTAAGAAAAAAAAAATAGTATGGTAATCTCAAAAGTTTAACCAATTAATTAAAAATGGAATCGCTCCTTTACAGCCTTTAAACATTTATTAATTTATTTGAAAAAGAAACTGGTAGTTTACTCAAAAAAATTCTTTAAGTAATTCTTGTAAGTCAAATATTTTTTAACAAAAAAGTGAGATTTACAAAAAAAAAATTATAAACTTTATCTGTATGATTCAAGTGGCAGATATAACCAGCTTGCAGCTTGTATATCATATTAATCCTTTGTTTGGATTATGTATATATTGACAAAGTAGCTGAAAAATTTCCTTTTCATGAGGGAAAAATACAAATAAAAAAAAACAAATTTTTACCCACAAAAATGTTGCTGTTCAACAGCTGTTTTAAGTGTAATTAAAAAGTCAAGTGTGGTAATAAGCAATAAAATTTAATCAGTTTTAATCAATCAATGGTATGTTTTCCGTACTAAAAACTGGCAAATTCCACAGCAAGAGATTAAGATATTGTTTCTAATAGTCGGCTATTAAATTTTTTTTTATTACTCTAATGTTTATTTGGAAAAACAATAAAATTAAAATTATGTACTTTACCACTTTTGTTTTATTCTGCAAATATATCTAAATCCAAATTCCATCACCACAGATAAATTGTTTTTCATCGAAACTGCTATTTTTAGTACAAGATAACATTAAACTTGGCAGTAATTCCAGCTTAAGAAAACCAAATATGAATATTTTTAACTAAACTCAAACTTTGAACCATTGAAAATTATAGATTTGTGTCTGCAAAATGCCATCGATAACGATATAGGTCACTCATGGCCAAGGACACTGTTTTTCTAACTTAATTTTATCATAAAACTTCGTCTAGCAGGAAGAGAATTTACGAAAAAATTTGCAAGTCACGTCTGAATTAAGTGAATTTTTAATGTCAAATAGTTTGAAATTTATTTATAATTTGCACCCACATCTGCTTTTGGCAACTTGTAATGGAAATTTTCACAAGAGACCTCGTAAAATTAATAAAATTATCATCGAAACGAACTGCTGTTTTGAATTACTCTGAATTGTTGGTAAAAACAAGGAAAAACACTGACACAAATTCTGTGTTTTAGCGATTGGAAATGACAAATTCTGATTGCTATTTTTACTCACACATACTTTAAAGCTTAAAACTTGGGCAAATTTTCGAATCAAATCAATGAATGTCTTTGTGTTAAAACAAGAGTCAACGCACTACACCACACAACAATAAAAATGTTGCAGCTCCACATGCTGTGTCGAGTTAAATTCGTTTGAAACATGAAATGACCTCGTGTCAGCTGATCCACACGTGGCGGCGTCGGCGGCGTCCTAAGCGTCGAAATTTTCAGGAAAAACCAAATAACATTATTTATGCAAGAAAACAACTGTTTTCAATCAACAACAACGACGAACAATAACAAAGAAAAGCTGACCTAAATGAATTAATTTCTTACCATTTTGCTGTAATGACCAACACTGAATGATAATTTCAGGAGAGACGCCTCTTTTATCACCTTTTTTCAGGGAAATTTACACAACAAACTACTAATTTTTATTATTAGTGAGTGTAAACTCAAGTTTATGTGGAAAATTTTCAGTTAGTGTAAACGATGTGTGTTACATTTATTAATAAATTGTTTGCAAATGACGAATTTTAACTTGCGTATCAATAGGTAATTAGTGAGAAATGTGTTTTCTATTTCAGTGGTGTCGCTTATTTAAAAATGTTTAAAATTGAGAATCACGCACCGGATGCGTGCAATGGTAAAATTTCATTAGTCAAGGTGTGGGATTTGTTTAAATGAATGTTTGCTTCATTTTCTATTTTTGAAACAAAGCACTTAAAAAATGACTGATTTTGTTATAAAATGTAATAAAAAAATTGAATAAGTCAACAAAACTCTCAAAGAAACTGATAAAACTCTCACTATTTATAAAAAAGATAAAAACAAGATTATTTTCTAGCTAAAGAAGAAGAAAGTTTTGACAGCAGATAAAGTTTGTAGTTTTTTTTAAGATAAATTGTAACATTTAAAAAAATGCAAAAAATGTTTGATTACAAGAATTACTTAAAGAATTTTTTTGAGTAAACTACCAGTTCCTTTTGGAAATAAATTAATAAATTGTTAAAAACTGTCAAGGAGCGATGCCAAAATATTTTTTATTTTAGTTAAATGGTTAAATTTTGAGATTACCATAGCAATATTTTTTTTCTTAAATAAAAACGGTTTTTTATTGAGAGAGTGACTATAAATTCGAAGGACTTGGCTTAAATAACCTTGCAACTTACGCAATAAGGTCTGAAATTGGATTAATTTGCCTATTTTTTTTATGATTTATATTTGCAAACTCAAGTCTCAAATAAGTATTTTTGCCTGTTTTTCAACAAAAATAATTCAGAAAATTGCAAAAATGGGTCCAAAATGTGTTAAATTTATAAAACAAATTTCAGTAATAAGAAACTCATAAAATTTGAAAATTTAATTTAAATTTGCAAAATTAAGTTTCAAATGAGCCTTTTCGCCTGTTTTTCACCAAGAGAACACCCTAAATGTAAGAGATTTGGCAAAAATAGTACAGAAAATAACAAAATTTTTATCTGTTCAGAGAGTTTTTTACCAAGAAAATCACTAAATTTGAAAAATTTGATTTAAATTTGCAAAATTAAGTCTCATGAATTTTTTCGCCTGTTTTTCACCAAGAAAAAATTGAGAAATTTTGCAAAAATAATACCGCAAATAGCCAAATTTCTATTTGTTTAGAGTTTTTCACCAAGAAAATCACTAGATTTGAAAAATTTGATTTAAATTTGCAAAATTGAGTCTCAAAGAAGTTTTGACAACAGATAAAGTTTATGATTTTTTTAGCATCAATTGTAACATTTTTAATAAATTTTTTGTACATTTATAAAAAGCATAAACATATCTTTGAAAAACAATAAATAATTTAAGAAAAAAATTATTAATATGGTAATCTCAAAAGTTTAAACAATTAATTAATTTTATTTTTGAATAGAATTTTTATAGCCATTGCAAACCTATAAGTTTTGGACCAGCCTGTATTATAATTGTACTAAGATTTTTTTGAAAATAATTTCGCTGTGATAAATATCACTTTTAGCTAATCCCTGTAAACAATATACGCGATAAATTTTTTTAACTTTTCAATAAATAAATTGTTATGAGATAATTACGCAATAAAAATAACATAAATGTAGAAACATTTTGTTCTTTTTTCATTCAATTTTTGACGTGTTTTGGGGTCAGTACAAAATCACTTGTAAGGTAAAACTACCTGGATCAACAGTAAAAAAATTCCAACTTCTTCATTATCATTCTTGTGTTAATAGTTACATAAGATCTGGAAATTACCAGTAAAATCATTATTAACACAGCTTTGTAATCGTAATGAGTATAGGTAGACAATTTAAATCCCATTTGTTTAACTCCAAAAAAAATATTATGTAATTCGTGAAAATAAGGTATTTATTGATAAGAAAAGATTGAGATTTGATGATTAAAATCTCTACCCGAGTACTAATCAATTATCATTTGATTTGAAAATTACTATTTGTTCCAATCACTTGAACTTGAATAATAACAATTAAAATAATAATTATGTCCTTTGAATTTATTTTTTATTGAAGCAAGACTTATCATGTGATTACTTTATCAGTGATAATTATTGGGTTATCGTCATAAAAACTGGATGCAAATTACACAAAAACCAGAAAAATCAATTTCAACAACATTAAACGATTAAACAGGACCCGAATTGATTACTTCGAAAATAGGCCAAAGAATCTCAACATGAGATAATTAACAAAGAAATCTTATAAACAACAAATCGAGGAAAATTCCCGATTGAATGATAATTATTTGTAACAAAGTCAATTTGTTTTGTAATATCCAAAACACGATTAGAAAAATAAATGTTTAATCTTCGGTGATAGCGTATCTGATACTTGTAGAGACAATGAGATCATTAAACGCTCGTTACCCCCATTTCACACAACAAAACAAACTCGAGCGTAAAATGACCACTTTCAAGAGGCCCAATACAGACCCCATTTACTCCAGCATTTTTTAAAATAAAAAAAAATATCCCATTCAAAAAAATTTTTAAATTAATAATTGCATTTCGCTCCAAGTTCTCACACATGTTCACAAACAATCTTTTTTAAACACATTGTATAATTAATTATTCTTGAATATCAACAACTTCATGTTTTTTTTACAAATTAATTTGATTGACAAGGCCATGTAAGAACAAAATTTAATAATGAGTAAAAAAAACATTTTTTTAAATTGCACCTTAGCTTCTATCTCTGTTAAATTATTTGAAATAAATTGAAAAAAAATGAGGAATAAGTTTAAAACTCTTATGATTACTTATGATTCTGCTTCCGACTCAGAAAACGTTCTAAACTCTTCGAAAAAAGCAAAAATAACACTATTTTTGGTCTAATTCTATAATTTTTTGGTTTGTTTTTAATAAAATTTTGCGACATGTTTACGTTTTTACCTGAAGAACATGGTAAAATACCCAAAACGCAAAAATAATGACTTGGTTTCTTTTTTTTTTTGTTTCTTTTAGCAAAATCTCGCAAAAAAACTAAGACTTCGGTTAAAAAATGTGTTTAGAAAAAGGTAAAATAACGATATTTTCGACCAAATTTAGTGTTTTTAGACTTATTTTTTGTCAAACTTTTACTAAAAAACGCGATAAATCGAATAAAACAAACAAAATAACATCAATTTAGATTTGTTTTTGCAATAACAAAACAAACTCAAGTGTAAAATGACCAGTTTCAAGAGGCCCAATGCGGACCCAATTTACTCCAGCATTTTTTTAAATAAAAATAAAATAAAACATCCCATTCAAAAAATTATTTAAATTAATAATTGCATTTCGCTCACACATGTTCACAAACAATCTTTTTTAAACACATTGTATAATTAATTATTCTTGAATATGAAATTTTCCTTCAAGTCAACAACTTCATGTTTTTTTTTTTGACAAATTAATTTGATTGACAAGGTCAAATAGGAGCAAAATTTAATAGATGAGTAGAAAAGACTTTTTTTTCATTTTACCTCAGCTCCTTTCTCTGTTAAATTATTTGCAATAAATTGAAAAAAATGAGGAATAAGTTTAAAACTCTTTTGATTACACTTTAATTAATGACTGTCATCAGAGTCATCACTTTCTTGAGTTTATTTCTTCCACTTTCACTATCATCTGTGGTCGTGTTGAAAGCGCATTAAACTGCTTCTTTATCAACACAATTTTGACCCAATTTCTGACCAAAAGGTCATTCCACTGTTTTAATTTCTTTCAAGAATCTTTGTAGTAAAAACAGGGACGATCCCTTTCATTGATTGCTTCATTCATGGTAAGAAATCAACGAAAAATCCTTTATTTCGTATTAAAAAAAAAACAAGAAGTGTCGACTCACCTTGTGATCAGCTGTGTTGTTTTGTTTATAAATAAACGTTTAATACACCATGTGAAAGTAGCGGATTTGGAACCACTGTGAATACGCACTTGTCGATGACTGTCTTTATGCACTTGGTTCCCCTCCTTTGCCACACATGCGCAAGGGAGAGATGTTTTATTCATAATGGACATTTAATGTGTTACACAGTCCATATCCTTTATCCTGACGAATTATCCTTCAGCAATTGACTGACCTTCATGAAAAACTGATCAGTTTCGAGCACGCAAACTTATTTTTCTCTTCGTTTTTGAATTATTTTGTTGTTTTTTGAAAACACGCGATACGCCCAACACGTGGAACGGATTGTCAAATATCAGTAAATATTTACGATTCGAATTTCTTGTTATGATTGTCAACAAATACCTGAATTGGAAGTAGTCCTAGAGTGAATTTTTTAACGTAATTGAGGTAATTGGAGAAAAATATACAAAAAAAACCGTATTATTGTTTCAGAAAATTGACGCCAAAAATAAATTTCAACTTTTTTTTTGACATAAATTCAGTGTTACCGTATCTGAGCTCAAAAAGTTGCCAGATTTACTCGTAATTTTACTAGATTACAAACTTAGAATTTAATTTTTTCTAAAACTGTCAAAGATTACGTTTTTAACATAATTCTCTAATTCCACAATTTTTTGGTTTGCTTTTAATGAAATTTTGCGACATGTTTACATACTAAAATACCTAAAACGCAAAAATAATGACTTGGTTGCTTATTTTTTTAGTTTTTCTTGGCAAAATCTCGCAAAAAAACTAAGACTTCTGTTAAAAAATGTGTTTCG